ATGTTGCGTCTGTGTTCTTTAATTTGCGCGTTGTTAGTAAATCACCCGCAGAAATTTCCACGCCCATCGGCGCTGTGTTGGAATTGCGCTCTCACGCTAATTTGCCCTGTTTAGTAAAACTGGCCCTAAATGTGTTTGATTCACAAACTTGCATCCTCAATGCAAAATTAGCTGTTAATTTGCTCACCCTCAGGCCATCCAAGATGTAGAACATCAGTAGAACAGTAAAGAAGATTTTTAGCTGAAAATGCAAGTCAGCAGCTACAATCATTTTGAGAGTGAAAAAAGCATATCAGGCAACACAAAATGAATACCTGTGACTGCTGATGATATATTGAGGTATCATGGAGCAGAACAATCGGTCTGTGCAGGAAACTGAACATTATTTACAACATTACCTTTTTTTTTTTTTTTTTTAATCATGAAATAACGTATATGCAATTATATTATCAAAGCACCCAGTAGTAATGTGGAAAGATGCTTTACGTGTCTAAAGCATACAAAGTGAATAAACTAGTCTGTCAACTCACCTTTTTCACATAAACGATGAGAAACCATAAAAACATTCATTTGGCTCCTTCATTCAAGTGTTCGGTTCACACATGCTCATATCAGCGGCTCATTGTTTCCTCAGTTCAGTGACTGTTGGAGGAACTGGAGCACTGAATCAGTTCATTCGTCACAGGATCAGATACTCTGCTATCTTGGCTAAATTCAGTCAGAGTCAGAGTGACTGTCAGGGGTCTGAAAGTGAGTTTTGATTGAGTAAATTGTAGATCTGTGCTGTTTGAGCTGTGAACTGTTGCAAAAATTTCAGTCCGATTTGGTGAACTGGTTCAACTAATTCACTAAAAAGAACTGATTCAAAATAATGATTTGTTTGTGTATCAGTCATCTCTCCGGACCGTTTGCCTGTGGCTCTGGATTACAGGTAATAATTTAGAAAATAATGTTCAGTTTCTTGCACAGACTGATTGTTTCACTTCGTAAGACCTCAATATATCATCAGGAGCCATGGCTATTAATTTTGTGTTGTAATTCCAGCAATTAATATGCTTTTTTTGACTATCAAAGTTACGGTAGCCTCTGACTTGCATTTTTTTAATCACTAAAGGACTCAGTTTCAGCGTGCCTTGTAATAGAATAGAATTGAAATGTATACATAACTTACATCTGAGAAAAAAATATACTGTGGAAGAATGAAAGGTTTGTTTCAGTATAAGTAATTTACTGTATTTTTTCCTAAGCATATTTATTTCTAACAAAGATTTTAATTTTTTTATTAAAGCCACATACTGAAAATCGTTCTGGTCTCATCTTTTATTGTGAAACTGGAAGAAATATATATATATATATATATCCCACACTATATTACATTATACAATGAAGGTATCTATACAACCAATGCTAATAAATAACTTGGGTGTATCCAGAATCTGTTGGATAATTTTTTTATATAACAGATACTTAGTCTACTAAAATTATGACCATGAAATTTCAACTTTGTTCTACATCCCATGAAGCACATCTGTGAATTAAGTAAAGCCACTATCTTTCTGAAAAGTGTAACATTTCACAACGTTTTACGATGTATTAAATCAAATGAACATAACGCACACGCTCACAGATGAACAGAACATGGTGCTGCTTGACCACGAGGCAAGCTGAGAACTAGACGAGATCTTTGCTGGTGTGGTCAGTTACACTACAAGATAAGACAAAAATCAGTCATCAAAAAGTAGCAATTACTGCCATTACTCGGTTGCAAAACATCAATATTTCAACAGTTATTGCCTTAATGCTGAAAAATGTGTTGCATAGAGATATAGATTAACCAGCACAAAGACAGCTAAAGTTATTTCAAATGAACAAATTCATACATGTAAATAAATCATTACTCATTGTTGAGTTTAGGCCCTTGGCATTTTGTCATGATTGAAATGTAAATGTCTGAAAGAGTGTTTTGTGCAATATTTATGTGAATTTAATGGCTGTGTGTGCTGTAAAACCAAAGAATAAGTGGTGCTAGCTTACAAACTTAAGGAACAGGTTTTATTCACCATACACAATGTACGTTGAGAGAAACAAATCTTACACATACACAGAATTAGGCAATAAAAGCCGGCATGAGGGTGAGTGTCAGAACAAATACACCAAGATCATGACAGCTCAACTTGAAAAAGAAAAGCTATACAGCTGTTCTATTATTCATTTAAAAATGCAGGTAAAAATGAAACAAATAAAGCCTTTGGTTCTTGGCCTGTTGATTAGCAACTGCAAATGGCTACAGCACTTTATGTGCCTCAAGTCTGCCAGCAGTTCTGGTACACTTAATAAAGGTTTTAATGACACATAAACAGAGACTGAGGTGTTGAACAAGTCAATAACACACTGAAAAAAACAAACCAAAACAAAAAACAAATGTACATGACAAGGACAAGAACAGGCCGAAACAGACTGGGGACAATAGAGTATAATGAAGACAAATGGATGTGGACTTAAATGTGACTCAATGAGGCACAAGATGCTTCGTTTCTGCCTCGTTGGCAAAAGTCAGGCTGGCATTTCAGTGCTAAAAAGAACTGTGAACAAATGATACGCACACACACACACATAATGCAGACATTTTAAAAGAACCCCATATTATATGCAGGACTGTACAAAATGTGTGCAGCTAGTTTAGTCTTGAACAAACTTCGCAGACTTCTCGCGCAACAAACTTCTGCACTATTTCATTAATTTCCTCCATAAATCGGACATACAGCGTTCACACTGTTTTGAGTATACTGTTACAAGAGCATTGCAATGGCTGTGACTAAATCCAGCTTTCTGGCTCAGTTCTTAAAGAGATAGTTCACTCAAAGAGGAACATTTGCTGTTAATTTGCTCACCCTCAGGCCATCCAAGATGTAGGTGACTTTCTTTCTTCAGTAGAACATTAAAGAAGATTTTTAGCTGAAACCATGGTCCTTGGTGATTCATAAAATTGCAGTCAGCAGCTGCCCTCACTTTGAGAATCAAAAAAAGCATATCAGGCAACACAAAATTATTGTGGGTCCTGATGATATATTGAGGTGTTATGAAGCAAAACAATCCGTCTGTGCAATAAACTACAAGTTACTCAATCAAAACTGAAATGAGCCAAAATAGCGGTGTAAATGATCTGATTCAGCGCTCCAGTTCCTCCAACAGTCACTGAACTGAAGAAACAGTTTGACTCGGACCGAAGACAGATGAGCCGCTGAAATGAGCATGAGTGAACCCAGCACTTGAATGAAGGGGCGAAATTAATGTTTATTCACTTTACATGCTTTAAACATGTAAAACAGCCACCTTTCACATCATTATTGGTTGCTTTAATAATATAATTGTTTAAACAACAGTTCTTTCTGGTCCTCGAATCTGATTGGCTGAGAGGAGTGTGATATTATAGTGAACAGAACCCCACTTGCAGTATTTCTCACAGCGAGTGTCATGGTGGATGCCAAAATCCACAATCATTTTATGAATAATACTGTTTTTATGTGACGAAAATGTAGTTTTAAATTTTTTTTAGGTGAGAATGTAATGTAACTTTTACGATGGCTGTTGTTGTTTATTAAATAAAATTATTCAATAGACAATATTTTATATAAATAATAGTAGTACTTAATTATAGCATTTAATATTGGGAAACGGTGTGTGTGTTCGTGATGGTGATTTTAGTTAAATTATTCCGCAATTAGAGTCATCAGTATAGACTTTTATATTGAAAGAGACTGAAATGGGATTGTAAACAAGGACTTTTTTTTTTTTTACTTTTAACCACACCTTGTAAGACGCAGCACTGGAAATCACCCTTAACAGATGAAAGGATAGTACGACAAAGATATTGCTTTCCTCAGTGGACATTCATACTCTACATAAAACAGTGAGCTTTTAGTACAGTAATACACTAAGCTTTCAATCACGTTCCTTCGTAACTAGTTCTAAAGTGACGTTTTCAAATTAGTAACAAAAGGCTTGGGCTCAGCTGTTAAACTTGAGATTTGAATCCATGAATCCATGATGGAAGGAAGTAGTTCGCACAAAAGAGGCTTTTTATAGACACCCTGTTGTTGTTTCTTATGTATTTGCAGACTCATGTCGATGAACTGATATATAAACCTTGTGCCTACGGCCGAATCACAGCCGTGCCAGTATACAGCCATATCGCACTGCTACTCGTGTGATATTGCTCATGTATACGTGACGTCATTGCATGATTACGTGCATGATCCGAGTGAAACCGTTCATGGAAAAGAATCGGATTTCCCCATTTGCCTGAGGCTCTGGATTACAGGTAATGTTGTAAATCATGTTCAGTTTCTTGCACAGAGCGCTAAAGTGACGTTTTCAAATTAGTAACAAAAGGCTTGGGCTCAGCTGTTAAACTTGAGATTTGAATCCATGAATCCATGATGGAAGGAAGTAGTTCGCACAAAAGAGGCTTTTTATAGACACCCTGTTGTTGTTTCTTATGTATTTGCAGACTCATGTCGATGAACTGATATATAAACCTTGTGCCTACGGCCGAATCACAGCCGTGCCAGTATACAGCCATATCGCACTGCTACTCGTGTGATATTGCTCATGTATACGTGACGTCATTGCATGATTACGTAAACGAACTGGGGGGGTCAGTTATTTGAACCACTTCACTGAAACAAACTGTCCGAGTGAAACCGTTCATGGAAAAGAATCGGATTTCCCCATTTGCCTGAGGCTCTGGATTACAGGTAATGTTGTAAATCATGTTCAGTTTCTTGCACAGAGCAATCATTTTGCTTCATAAGACCTCAATATAACATCAGGAGCCACAGGGATTTATTTTGTGTTGCCTGATATGTTTTTTTTGACTCCCAAAGTGACGGCAGCCACTGACTTGGATTTTATGAATTGCCAAGGACCACAGTTTCAACTAAAAATCTTCTTTACTGTTCTATTGAATAAAAAAGGTAATCTACATCTTTGGATGGCCTGAGGGTGAGCACATTAACAGCAAAGTTTGATTTCTTGGTGAACTATCCCTTTAAAAGCCAGACATAAAGGACACAAACTCAAATCACTCTATAGTTAATATACTGTATGCGGAGCACATTTATTCAGCGATTGTTAGCCCACTGAGTTTAATTAGATTTGTTTGGGCCTTAAATTGATCGTATCTGTGTCCAGTTTAATGTTCATTGAGGTCTAACCATCTGGCTTTCTAAAGTAATACTGTAGTCATGCATATCTGACTGAGCTTGAAAGCACATTGAAATGCCAATTTAGCCATTTTGTCTCAAATAGGGCGATTTAAAGCTGTGCTTGCGGTCGTCTCAGTAGTGATGATAGTGTGTTCAGTGCAACAGTGCTCTAATTTGGTTCATGTGTGTTAAATGTACTGAATATTTTCTGTTGCCTTTCAAACATCTGATGCACCAGATAAGTTTTTATCTAGCACAGTGGACCTCATTGCCCATCTATTTGTATTTAGCAAGAATATACTTTTCTTTCATTGTTATTTGCTATTCCATTCTTTAGCTGGGTGTTTGAATGTAATATATGAATGTAGGACTACTTTAATGAAACTAAAGTTTGCGTTCAGACAGAATTAATGCAAAAAAGCCAAAAGAAGATCAACACACACCTTTTTTCTTTAATGGCAGGTGTTTCCATTGACTTTTGTTATTTTTAAACTGAGCTAATGATATTTTCTATCCCCTATGCCTTTACACAAACCTGTGCATTTGGACATTTTCATTAAGACATTATGTAGTATGTTTATTAAACCGTTTTCCTGCTTCACACAATGGTTTACTATCCTTGTGGTGGGGACATTTGATCAAAACTTGACCAACACACACACACCGTAATTCTAAAATAAATTATTTAATTAAAAAACAAATATGTAATATAGGATTTGTCCTATATGTTGTCCCCAAAGGGAGGTTAGCTTTAGCAAAAGTTTGGAGGCGACGGTGTCCCCAAAGTGTAGCTCCACAAAAACACACACACACAGAGAGCACTGAGGATGAGAAGAAAGTACTCACCTCATTACAAAAAGGAAAATGCAAAATGTTACTGTAACGTGTTTATTATAATGAAGTGTACTAATAACTGTAAAATAAAAGCTGTTGAATTGTGTGATCAGAAACACTGGGATGAGGCAAACAACACAGTTTTCTACATTGACAAAAATGAGACATGACACTGACGGACACATTTCCTGCAGTGACTGTACATAACAAGTGAACTCACTGAGAAAAAAAAAAAGAAAAACACTCAAACTTTTAAAAAGCATTGTGCATAGTTCAGTCATTACCTAACCTGTCTGCTGCTTAACGCTATTTCTGCTAACAAGGAAGTGCAAAAAATCATCAAATTAGTTCACTGTTGCACTGAAGGGTGTCTTCGTTCGTTCCCTTGTTGTTTAAGGTTTCTTGTTGTTGAATGTGTGTATGTGTGTGTACCTATACAGAAACCCACATGTGTGTTCGTTTAACTCACTACTAGGATCGAGTCCGGTCGCATCCCTTAAAGGTTTTCCCAAGCTTTGGCCCAGTCGGCCGACTCAATCCTCTGCAGAACCGGCCCGCGGTACGCCGCTCATACCTCGCCCACCCAGACCACTGTGTTCCCTCTCTTGACGTCTGACACCTCACAGTGAGGGCCGCTCTGTTTGCCGTCCAGAACGAACAGGGACTCGGCCGACGACGTGACCAAGTAGCGTCCAAACACCCCGCTGGAGACCACCACCCTGTTGGCGTCTCCCCAAGGCCAGCTGCTGGCTGGAATAGGATCCTTGAAATCTTCGAGGGCTTTCGTTCTTCCTGAAGCCAGGTCCGCGAAAACCAGCTTGGAGCCCTGCGCCGAAGAGGCCACGATCATGTACTTGTTGGCCTCCGTGAAGGACGGCTGAAACTCCAAGTCTGCGAGGGGAATCGAGACGTCCGCTTCGTGGCTGGTCCGCAACTCGCCGCTGAAGGAGATGGTCTGGACTTGAAGCTTTCCGTGTTGCTTATCCACGGAGACGACGAAGCGGCCGTCTGGAGAGATGAACGGCTGCCCGTTGATGTTGGGATTAGGTCCAATGACCGCGTCGCTTACACTGTCGATGAGAAGCTGTGAGCTTGGGGCCGAACGGTCCTCGACTTGGCACTCGATAAAATAGTAGCCGCTTAAATGAGTGTAGGCCATGCTGGCTGGGATACAGCTGTAGTTCTTCAGACTGATGGTCTTGACGAGACGGAGGGTCTCAAGGTCAATTTTATGCACCGCGGGCTCCGATTTTAAGTAGACAAAGCCAAACCTGAGATGACAATGGTCAAAGACAGATTAATGATCTTTCTGCGGATTTATTAAGTGCTGCGCTTTTAATTACAACCGTAATTTGCTCGCTATCCATTTTTGGAAGAATTATGTGGAAAATCTGGCAGAGGTCATGCATGCTGAGCAGTGACGATCGTTTCGTACCTTACGTGGGTGATAATGAGGTTGGTGGGAGGGATGTAGAAGTCCTCCACTCCTTCAAATGGAGTACGGATGATCTGACGCTGCTCCACCGCGCTGGCAGAAGTGATCACCTTAAAAAATGGAAGAGAGTGAAAAGAATATTACAACCAGGGCCAACAGCCAGTGACTGTGAAACTGTATGTGCAATTTTTCATTAAAAACAGGCAGAACGAATTGGGAAAACATGTAATTTGTGTATTTTTTATGTAATATTGTTATTATTGATACTTAATACTATTAATCAACTGTAACGTATTTAATGATAACTTTTATTTATATAATAATGATTATTATTATTATTATTATTATTTTATATAACAGTACAATTACAATAATAATATCGATGGTTGTTTTTTCTTTGCTTTCAAATGTTAAACCATAGAGGTTTTTATGTTGGCAGAGAAACTTCTCTTTTGAAATGCTTCTCTTTTGCTGATAACAGTTTTATAAATGATTCTCATTACAAACCAGGTAAGATGTTTGGGGCATGTTGCATTTTTAAATTCATGTTATAAGACACCGAAAACACTGTTATCGTGAGTGGCTCGTGAGAAGATCACAGAACTTCACTCTGAAACACGCAGCACATCAGATTACATATTTATATAATTACAATGCCGTTTTTAAGATTTCATAATCATACTAAGCCTTATTGCTTTCTCAGGCACTGTTAGAGTTAATAAAAAGGTTAACTGGCGAGTAACACTTCATTCTGGTTTTTACTCACATTTGGTCACTGGTAAGTGAACTTCAGGCCCAGATTACAACCATGGCTAAAGCTGACCAAAATGAGGAGACAATAAGCAAAGATCTTCAGTAACTCTTGCTTTGATATTTTATTATATAGTAAGACATTCATGAATTTACTGGATAAGTACAGCTTTCAGCAGTGGTGTAATACTGCAATACAGCCTTCATGCCAAGTGTTTAATCATGTCTATAATGTTTTCCCTGCTCCCTTTACAGTTAATTATCATGTATCATACTGCCTAGTTTCTCCTCCGGTCACATTTTTACAAAACAAAGTGCATTGAAGAGTGTTAAGAAACAGACATGAAAGTGAACTCTCTTTAAGTGCATGTTTTAGTAATATTGCATTATCCGCAAGTAGTTTTTTAAATATACTTTTAAAATTTGAAGAACACTATGAGTGCACATTCACTAAAATGAAGCACATTTATAATCACAAAGGCATAGTCCATGCCATATTTACATTTATAATATGTTATAAGATATTTAATGTCTTTACAGCAATATTTATATAAAAACAAAATTCTCAAATGCGGCTATAGGATTGCTATCAGACCACTCAGAAATTGTACAAAGAAAGTTCAGACTTGCCTTATATTAATAAAGGTTTTAGTACATTCACTTGTTACCCAACAGATACAGTACTACCAAAATAATAATCGTTTGAAATTCACAACGATTTTATTAAAAGAGCTTGTAAAGTTGATAAAAATGCCACTGTTGGCTTCAGTGCAGATGATTATGAGTTCTTGATTTGTGAATGCGTGTGATGAGTGCAGGATCAGAGCCAAGCGCACACATGCGGCTCTATCTCCCCTCATTTGTTTAATCTAATGAACTGACAAACAGGTTCAGATGTTTGACTAAGAATATTAAGCCATTTAAAAAAATGGGTTTGATATTTCACCTCTCGAGCTGAGCATTGCCTCCGGGCCTGACAAATTGCCCATGCCCGGGTCAATTACTCGCATTCGAAACGAGTCAAATATTATCAAGCCATTTATTTGTGGTGTGAATCCATATCCCCTGCAGCCAATTATGCAGCTTGCCTCTAAAAGTGCTCTTTAGCATTTCTGAGTGATTCATAGCGAACGCCTTCATTATTCTGTGTGGCTGGCACTCTGTGGGCATGCTGAACAAGCAAACACACCTGAGGACTTTCCCGCTATTTAATAAAACATGAATTATTCATGTGTATGGGGGCTGGAATTACACATTGTTTGTTAAATAAAAAGCTTTTCATTTGCTCTGTCTTTGAGGCTGTGTGTTTCTCAGACGTGTGCGCTGACATACATAGCCGAGATCAAACCTGGCAAAGAATAAAATGGGAACCGGGCAAATTTTCTTCATGTAGCAGAAAGCGTCTTATTCGCCTGCAGCTCGAATCAGGAGCTCTACCTGACACTGAACTGCACTGTGTAGAAACCGCTTTCATTCAGAAATTGCTCGTATATTTTTACAAACAACTACGAAGAAACAATAAGTAATGCACTGAATTAAACATGACATTTTGATCAAAACTGAAATCGTATTTTCTTGTCTTATACTCCAATAATCTTTGTTTACAACTTTGGAAAATCATTTGCAGTTACAGTGCAGTTAATGCACATGCAATTCATCTTCATAATGCATTCAAAATCTATACTATTTTTACATTTCTGGGCCATTATTTTCTAAAACAGTCATAACAAGATTATTAAAGATTTTTCAGCTAAAACCATATTGTGTCAGATCAGAAACTTCTCATTAATGAGAGAAATTAATATTACCATGGTATTCCTGCATTTACCCCCTTTTTTAATAATTAAATGAACAAAAACAAAAAACAAAAACAAACTATTATGCAGTATATATAGTATTAATGAGAAATGTTAGTTGGATAAATCATTTTATGAAATGTATATGAACATATAATCTGCGATTTACCAGTATTAACCCTAATTCCTTAATTCCATTGAACTCATGATTGCTCAAAAGCAGTCACAATTTATGAAACCTACCTATTTATTTCTAACAAAACAACTTCATAACCTAAATATAACTCTGAATTTTTTTCAAACAAAATAAATTAATTTTAATTACATAAACATTCACTTTCAGATGAAAAAAGTCATCAGGTTTTCATGCTTCAGTGGTTCATCAATAGTCATACATATCCATGTTTGTCAAAAACATGAACAAAAACAAAATTCAGTGCCAAAAGTGTGTGTAACGGGGCTGACGAGACGTGAGACGTGCGGATCCATATGCAAAGCTTTATTTGGAGAAGACAGAGACATGGTCATCAGACAGGCAGGGTAATCAGTGGCAACCAGGAATATGGCGGGCAAGACACAAGAATAGTCACAGGGCTAGCGTTGGTCGACGATAGGCAGACAGAGTCACAGGGGCAAGGCTAAAGGGAGAAGTCCAGGAAAACAGGCGAAGATCAAAACCGAAGGAGACAGACAAGGCTAAGCAAAACTAGGCTAAGGCTAGGAAACGACTGAGGGCTCTGTAGTGTAGCTATACAATACTCGAGATCAACACCGAAGGAAACAGACAAGGCAAAACTGGGCTCGGGCTCGGGCTCGGGCTCGGGCTCGGGCCAAGGCTGAGGCTCGGGCCAAGGCTCGGGCCAAGGCTCGGGCTGGGAAAAACGACCTAGGGCTCTGTAGAGTAGCTATCGCTGTGGGTCGACGATAGGCAGACAGAGTCACAGGGGCAAGGCTAAAGGGAGAAGTCCAGGAAAACAGGCGAAGATCAAAACCGAAGGAGACAGACAAGGCTAAGCAAAACTAGGCTAAGGCTAGGAAACGACTGAGGGCTCTGTAGTGTAGCTATACAATACTCGAGATCAACACCGAAGGAAACAGACAAGGCAAAACTAGGCTAGGGCTCGGGCTCGGGCTCGGGCTCGGGCCAGGGCTCGGGCCAGGGCTCGGGCCAAGAAAAACGACCTAGGGCTCTGTAGAGTAGCTATCGCTAGGAGAGTGATAATCGCTAGACAATACTCGGCAGAGGGAAGGGAACAGAGTGAGTGTTAAATAGTGAGGGAGTGATATGAAACAGCTGGGTGCAATCAGTGTAAACAGCTGTGTGCAATCTGTGCTGAGTGCAATCAGTGCAATGAATGATGGGATATGTAGTCCGGAGTGATGTGCAACAGTGTGTAGTGCGAGAGTCAATGAAATTGGAAGTTCATGGACCGGATTCGTGACAGTGTGAGATGTGATTTTACAAAAGTTGTTTAATATAAATTTTTGACACCAAATGGTACTCCATACAAATGGCATTCAAAATGACCAGAGCACAAAACATGTAACTTTTTGGTTATATCTCCTAAAAATAAATTAAAAACATTTTGAAAAAATAAATAGTGTATAGTCTTAATGAATTTGCAATGTTTTGTTCCCTTACTAAAAACTAAGCATTTTTAGAATTTTTTATGTACCTCTTCCAGGTCAAAATGGACCTGAATGTGTCATGAAGCTGCAGTCAGTGCAGAAATGCATTTGTCAAGCAAAGACCTTCACACATTAACACCAAACATTCAAAAATACAGACGGTTAGCAGATAAATGGCCCCTCATAAACTCAATGAATGAACTCTCAGAATAAAAAAAAACAAAACAACAACACATAACAGTGGGGCGGCATTAAGAGAGTGTGAGCACACACTAATTTGCTTGAGAGTCTATCTGGGTGAATTATAATTCAGGCCAAAACTAGAAACCATATTTTCCTTGTAGACAGTGAAGGCTTTGTGAGTGTCACCTGCAGTGTAGAGCGGGACTTCAGCAGGTCTCTCCAGCTCAACAGCCACAGCTGATCGTGAGATTTGTCGTAGAAGAGTTTGACGGGCATGGCGTCCGTTTCCACAGCCTGTCATTCCAACACAAGAGGGGAAAGTCATTCAGTTTTGCTTGTCAAGAGCAGCTGTTATGAGTAAAGCACTCTTTTTGATTTATTTTGGCAAGTGCCATAATAAAGGGTGTGCTTTCACTACGAACACTTTCAGAATGAATGTACGGTCCAAATGAAGCCCAAAGCAGAATCAGCTGATGAGTCTCTGAGCACACACGAGTGATGTTTCCTTCATCAATTGATTTTTATCTAATTTCATTGTCGAAGCAAAAACAGACCAGCAGAATTGAGTGTAAATGTAAGTTATTCAGTATTAGTGTCTTGATTACTGAACTGTGTGAAACAGCATATTCGCAGTCTGAAGTGCTCTGAATGTCAGTCATGTGATTTACTGTGGCCTTGCGATCCAATCACAGCCACTGATACTGAAAAACGTACAATACTGTTTGATTCATGAATGAAAAAGCTCTTACTCATAATTAAATATTGCTTAGTATTGTTTATATTTCTAGTTTTCAAGTAATACATAGATTTGACCTTGTATACATAGATTTGAAAAAAATGCCAAAAGTTATGTGTGCAGATATGTTATTGACAAAGTGTGCAGTTCACAAGTGTACAAATTTTGGATTCTGTGTATACACATGTCGGTTGTGATGGACGATGTATAATTATGAAAGTTTAATTGTTCAGGCTGAATATAGCCTGCGGGAAAAAAACTGTTCTTGTGCCTGGCTGTTCTGGTGGTCAGTGCTCTGTAGCACCGGCCAGAAGGCAACAGTTCGAAGAGAGAGTGGGCTGGGTGTGAGGGGTCCAAAGTGATTTTGTTAGCCTTTTTCCTCACTCTGGAGATGTAAAGATCTTGGAGGCTGGGCAGAGGGGCACCAATAATCCTCTCAGCAGTCCTGACTGTCCATTGTAGTCTCTTGATGTCTGATTTGCTAGCTGAACCAATCCAGTCAGTTATGGATGAACACAGGACAGACTCAATGATGGCAGAGTAGAACTATTTCAGCAGCTCCAGTGGCAGGTTGAATTTCCTCAGCTAGCGAAGGAAGTACATGGGCTAACTGCAGATCAGAGCGGATGGGGAGTGGTAGACTGGCCTTTTCAAATCTACAGTAAAACACATTCAGATCGTCAGCCAGTTGTTGATTCTCCACAGACAGTGGGTGTGGTGTCTTGTACAAGGTGATGTTCTTGAGACCAGTCCGTACTGACGCCGGATCGTTGGCTGAAAACTGTTTTCTAAGCTTTTCAGAGTAGTTTTTTTAGCCACTATGATCTCCTTTGTTAGTCTGTTTCTCGTTATACAAGATTTTATCCCCACTTCTGTAAGCATCCTCTTTGGCGTGACAAAGCTGTTTGAGTTTCCCAGTAAACCACGGTTTATCGTTATTGAATGATAAGAATGTCCTGGTGGGCATGCACATATCCTCACAGAACCTGATATATGAAGTTACAGTCTGTGAGCTCGTCCAGATCGGTGGCAGCAGCTTCAAAAACACTCCAATCAGTGAGGTCGAAACAGGCTTGTAAATCCCGCTCTGCTTCATTAGTCCATCTTTTTACAGTCCTTAAAACAGGTTTAGCTGAATTCAGTTTCTGCCTGTAGGTCGGTATAAGATGAACCAAACAGTGATCAGAGAGCTCCAAAGCTGCTCGTGGGACAGAGTGATATGCATCCTTTATTGTGGTGTAACAGTGATCCAATATAT